GCCTGTACGGGAGCCCTGGCAGGCGGATGGACCCAACTGCAGAGCATCGGAGAAACTCGGAGTGAACCGGTTCTCTGCCAGCTGATCTTCGGCGCTACTGGTACGCCAGAACCAGGCCGAGCCAGTAGAATGGCACCCTTGACTCTTACTTTGGTCACTGTTGAACTGCAGGGTTCCAGCCTTTCAAGATCTTTGGGGACCTCGAGCTGATCTTCTGAGGCCTTGCCGACCTCCTCCAGCTTTGCCTTGTCTGACCATGTAAGGAGGTCCCCTCCGATCCCCTGAGCCAGGATGGAGCCCTCAGGTGCCCCCTGCCCACCCCTGCTGCCATCAAAGGCTTGCGCTGCAGGGCGGGCACGGAGGAGGAAGGCCCAAGGCCCCCTCTGAGCCCTGCCTGAATCCCTCCCCCCACCTTCCTGGCACACAGCTTGTGCCACAAAGGCCCTCCGAGGAGGGGATCGAAGCCACAGCTGCCACAGAAGGTCGCCCAGCCTCCCTTCATCTCTGGTGGGGCCCGGTTGGGAGAGGCGCCACGCAAGGGGAGGGCACCCGAGAGTCCTTGGCTGCGTCCCTGGCAGCGTTTGAGCCTCAGCTCCAGGAGCAGCAGAGTTGGGTGCTAGGAGCCCTGTGGGGACCCTCGCATGGGCCACCCTCCAATGGGGAGGACTCCGCTTGGGCCCCCCGATGGTGAGCAAGCAGGACCCCTGCAGGCCGGGATGAGACCAGCCAGCTGCCGTTGAGACGCAGTTTGCGTGTCTCCACAGCAACCCAGGTCAGCAGAGGATACGCCGAGTGCAGAGGCAGCACCCAGGCCCTCGCCAAGAGCGCTTTGGCTGGCTGCCGGCCAAGGCAGAGCAGCCGGCGATGGAGGGAGGCCCCTCCCAAGAGGAGGCGGCCTGGGGCTGCCCCGCCTTGGCTGCCTTCCCCAGGTGGATTAGCTGGCGGAGGCCCAGCCAACGGCTCCCTGGCCCCAAGCAGCCACAGCAGCACCACTGGTGACACGGGGCAGAGCAGGGCTGCGTGGGCTCAGACTGCCACCCCCACCTGCACGGAGATGCTTCCACCGCAGCCACTTCCAAGAGCTGCTGAACTCAGAAGGGGGGCCGAATGAGCCTGGCTGGCTTGCTGTCACATCCTTGGGCAGGTGGTGCCCAAGAGTCCAGAAGGAGGGAAGTCCGATGGCCGGGCATGTTGGTGCCCGAGTTTGCCCACAAACCACCCAGCAGGGTGCTGAGGTTTCCATGCTGCCCAGTGGCAGGGCTGTCGCCCCCCACATTTGCAGCGGCTGGGCAAATGTGCCTGGGAAGGGCAGCACCTGGACCCCACCTGGCTCTCTGCTGTTTGGGGCCGGGAAGGACTTGGCCCCCGGAAGCCTCCCTGGCAGATGGAGACATTGGTGGCCCAAAGGGGTCAAGATTAGCTCCACCAGGCAGGACACTGCCAGTTGGCCTTCAGCCCTTGAACCGGCCCTGGGTGCGGTGCCTCTCTCTCTCTCTCCCTCTCAGATCTGCAGTGACTCGGTTGGCAGGAGGGCAGGGAGCTCCCTGGCATTCAGGTCGGCTGGTCTCTTCCCAGTGCCACCATCTCTGAACCGCAAATCTGCATGCCAGTCTCGGGCGGCACCTCCCAAGACCTGGCTAAGCAGGATAAACCCGCCAGGGGACTTCAGCGCCTGGTCCCTGCAAAAGTGTTTCCCCATTCTGGGAGGGCTTCCAAGGGTTTCCACAAATCCCCCTTTGGGGAATTCCTGCCCCCACAGCCTCCCCCCCCCACACCTGGCCTTCCGTCCGTCCGTCCTTCTGCAGTTGTCCCTGCAGGCCCCCCTGCTGGCACGGGTCCTGCTGCACTCCAAAGTGGCCATTTCCTGCTTCCTTTCTCGGACTTCCTGGGTCTCTGGGTGAGGACCAGGCCCTCTCTGGCCCACAGCAAGGGGAGCTCTGGGTCCCTTGGGGTCAGCCCCTTCCCCAGCCAAGGAAGGGGCTGCAGGGGGCCCCTGCTTTTCAGGTGGCAGGTGCTGAACAGCCACCCAGGAAAGTCCCAGGAGGCAGCAACTCAGCCAGGCACCACCCCCATCCCAAATCTTCCGATTCGCCACCGGAGCTTCCTGCTGCCCTGAAGAATTCCGGCCTGAAATCCGGCACTGGGTCACGCCCAGCCACAAGCTCCAAAGAAAATGCTGAGAGGAGAAAGCAGCAGGCCCCGGACCCCCACCCAGGGGAATCATGCCAGGGACCAGGGACCCCCGTGGCTAGGAGGGGGTGCCTTAGGGCCGGCATGTGACCAGGGGAGCCACCCCTAGCTGGGGCCTCAGCGGCTCGTGTGCCTAGCACTGGCCCAACCGCTGCCTGTCTGAAGCTCTCCGGCCCGTGGAGGGGCATTGCGGATGCTCCAGCTCAGTCAGCCACATCCTTGGAGCTGCCCGTCTCCAAATGCCAGGCAGGAGGGGGGGGGCTCGCTCCTCTCACCACCAGTCTGCGGTGGCGGTGGCAGCCAGCCCGCCCATCGCCACATGTCCCCGCTTCCCTTGCGCTCTCTCTGGTCTGCATTTGCCTGGCTTCTTCTGCCTCGGGGCCAAAACCAGATGCTTGGCTCTGGATTGGGCTGGTTGGCAGAAGGTCCCGCTTGGTAGAAAGGAACGGAGGTGGCTCTCCTCCCGCTCGGCTCTCCAGGTGGGCCGAGGTCCTCAGAGGGGTCGGCTCCCCCCCCCCCAGAAGTCTTGCACAGGAGTCACTGCCTCCTCTCGGGCAGCTCCTGGGACCAGCCTGCTTCCCTGCTCCTGGGCATCCAGCCTTAGGCGGCAGGAATGCCCAGCAGTGTGGCAGGCAGGCAGGCAGGCAGCTGTGGGGAAAGGAAGGGCCACTTGCCCGAGGAGGTGTGGGGCAGGCAGTGGGAGGCCCTGGGGAAGGGGGCGGCCGGGTCCCGGGGCTGGCTCTGCCCTCATTTCCCTGGCGCCGGGAAGGGGGGGCAGACAAGCCAGGCTCCAGCTCTGCCTGATGAAGACCAGCCGCCTGCAACAGAAGGACTTCCAGCGGGCAGGGGGCCAGACCCACACGCTCCTCGGCGCAGACTTCCAGCATTCCGGACATCTGCAAAGGATGAGGGCGCTCCCGGTGCCAGCCCTCCCCCCATGGCCACAGGCCCCACCCCAAAGCCGCCTTCTAGGTAAGGGGCTTCCCTGGGGGCGCCTTCCGAGCTTGGAAGGCCAGCGCAGGGGAGGCAGGGCAAGGGGGGCTGGGGGGGACTGAAGGAGAGCCTAGGTGGGGAGAGGGGGGGAGCCAGGAGGCCCCCCCCCAAAGGGCAGAAGGGGCTTCCGGGGTGCAGGAAAGAGCCACAAGGATGACTTCACCCTGCGAAGGTCCATTAGATGCGCCCCCCCCCCCCCACAGGCCCAAGGGGCCGGCGGGGACCCTCACACCCCTCCAGGCCGCTGGCTCCAGCGGTGGAAAGCCCCCCCAACTGTCGGCTGGGGGGGGCTGCCTGTGAGCTCATCTGTTGACAGTTTCCCAGAACTCTTTCCACTCTGGGCCCAGCTGCAATTCCTGCTCCCGGGAGGATCTTAGGCGACTCTTTGGCATTTTGCAAGACTTGGCTTGGCCACCCGGGAGGCCGCCGGGCCAAAGCAGAGCCAGACAGCCCTTGCCCGTCTGTTGTCCCGCCCCCGGTTGGCTGGCTGGGAGCACGGGGGTGGGCTGAGGGGTGACACCCCCCCAATAGGGCTGCCCCCGAGGCCGATGCCCAGAGCAGCCTGGAGTAGGGCCAGACCCCAAGCAGCCAAGGCTACCAGCCCCAGAGCAGCCCCGGATGGCCGCAGGGCCAGCAGCCCACCTGCCTTTGGCTTCCCAGCCGAGAGGGGGGGGGGCTGGGCCTGGCCGAGGTGGCATCTCTGGGAGGAGCTTGGGGTCCCAGGCCTTCGGGGCGGCCTTCTCCCCCAGGGGTCCGAGGCTTCAAACCCTTCCCTTGGCCACTGGGGAAAGTGGCTTCGGACCGTTTCCCCCAGTTACAGCCGTTGCATCACATGGGAATCAAAATTCAGCTGGCACCTGATTCGTATTTATGACGGCCGCCACATCTCAGGGTCATGGGATCCTTTTGGGGGACCTCTCGCAAGCAAAGTCAACTAGGGAAACCAGATCTGCTTAACGACGGAACCTGACAGGCCTGGATCTCATCACATGCCGACCCAACAGCTGCGTTGCTAAAAGCTACCCAGCCCCGCTTTGGCTCCAGATGGGATCCTCCCCTCGAGACGAGTTTGGGAAACTGGGCTGTGGGGGGGTGTCCCATTAAACCGAATGAGATGGTCCACGGGGAACAGGTGGGTAAAGCCCCCCCCCCCCTGCAAGGACTCCAACACCCCATTAACAGCACCCAGTTTTGATCCCCTATAAAAAAGAGGTCGAGGCTCTGGAAAGAGTGTGGAGGAGCGCAACGGAGGACGAGGAGGGGGCCTGGAGGCTCAAACCCGCGACGAACGGAATGGCAGGAACTGGGCCTGGCTGGTTGCAATCGGAGAGGAGGAAGCGGCCAAGCGGTTCTCCAAAGCGGCCCAAGGCCAGGCGGGGCAACCAACCAGCGGACCAGAAGCTGCCTCCAGAGGTCGGGGGGGGGGGCTCCATCCCTGGAGCTTTCCGAGAGGAGGCTGGACAGCCACTCCCCTGGAATGGCGGAGGGTCTCCTGCCAGGGCAGGGGGCTGGACTAGAAGACCCCCCAAGGTCCCCTCCAACTCTGTTCTCCTGCTGAGAGCTTCAAATTGGCGACCCCCAGGTGGACTTGGTGGGCTCCTCTCGGGCGCACTGGGGCCAAACGCCTGACCAGGCTCAAACAGCCCCCAGCCTCCTGAGCAGGAGGAGAGCTCTGCAGTCGTCGTTCCCCCGTCCCCCCACCGAAGAGAGATCCTGTGATCCAGGCCCAGGAACCACAATTGCGAGAAAGTCATTTATTCCAAGATGCCAAGGAAGCGACGGGCGCTCCATCCGGGGAGCCTCCTCCTCCCCCCCCCCCCCCCCCCCCCCCCCCCCCCCCCGGGGGGGGGGAGCTCTCTTCCTTGGGGAGGGGCGCCTCAGTCCTCGAACCACTTGCTCCTCTTGAGCTGCCGGGCGGCCGTGCCAGTGCCCAGAATCCGCTGCTTGTACCGCTCCACCAGCTGCTCGAAGCGAACCTCCGCCCGGCCGTGGCCAGCCTGCTTCTTTTGGGGGCCCTGTGGACAAGGACGGGTGTGTGTGTGTGTGTGTGTGTCAGGCTCAGAGGCCCCGGGGGGAGGGGGGCACAGAGGCAGGTGGGAGGAGACCCCACCCACTCACCTGGGGGGCAGCTCCGGGCGCCTTCCGCTCTCTGGGCCCAGCCTTCTTCTTCTTCTTCTTCCTCCTCCCCCGCTCGGGAGGGGCCCCCTGCGCTTTGCCCTTGTCACGATTCCTGCCGGGAGGAACCCCCCCCCTCAGTCCAGGGAGCAGCTGCGGGGCGTTTTCTCCCACCCAGCTTGCAGAGCGGGACTTCCTCCGGCCATGCCGGGGACCCCGGAGCCCCCTCGGTGGCTGCCTTTACCTGATCTTGGGCCCCCGGTGGGAGGGCAGGGCCAGGACCCTCCGCCGCTTCGTGCCGTCCGGCAGCTCCACCGTCTCCTGCTCCTGCCGGGTCTGGAAGCCTGACCAGGAGGCGGCTCCTTCGGTGGCCTTCAGGCTTGGCCAGGGCCCAGGCCGCTTCTTCCTCTTCTGTCCACGGGGCTCTGGGGGAGCCTGAGGGCCCCCAGCCTTCCCTTGGGACCCCAGGGCCTTCTTCAAGCCCTTGGGGGGCTTCTGAGGGGCCCCTGGCCGTCCAGGGCCGGGCGATGACCCCTGACTGGCTGGCCCGGCGGCTGCTTGTTTCTGCCTCAGCTTTTGCTGCCCGAGGGAGAGAAGACGTGTCACCTGGGGCCCCCCCTCCCCTCCCCTCCCCACCTCTGCGCAAGGGGCCAGCCCCCTCCCCCTCCTGGCCAGTCTCCAGCTGGGGTGATGCAGCCGGAGCCCCTCGGTCAGGGGCTGCCCCCCATGGGCCACTCCAGGGGCCAGGCCCCTGCCCGGGGGATGATCTCAGGGGGCCCCTACCAGGCTGCGTTCCGCACGCTGCTCCTTCAGCCTCAGCTTCCGCCCGTCCTCCAGGGAGAACTCCACAATGGGCCGCTGGGGAGAGAAATGGCCCCGTCTTGGACCCCCCCCAAGTGCCCTCCTGCCCACAGGGTAGCCCCCCCTCCCCTGCCCGGGGCCCAGTCAGCTCTGCAGGTGGCCCAGCCCAAGCCCTGGGATGCCCAGGCGGGTGTGGGAGCCCCAGGAGGGAGGGGAGGGGGCTCGGCCGGGGTCTCCGCTTGACGGGCGGGGAAGAGACTCACCTTCTGGTCCCCAAAGAGCCGGGGGTTGTTGTTGACTTGGCGCAGCGCAGTCAGGGCCTGCTGGGGCTGCTGGAACTCCACGAAGGCGTAGCCCAGGGACTGGCCCCGCCCCTTCAGCTCCCGCATCACCCGGCACTGGGGACGGGAGGGAGCCGCCGGTCACGCGCTGGAGGCGGACCAGTCCCCCCCCCC